TGGTATATCAAACAAGTATAGTATAAACTCTTATTATTGAATTGGAAACCACACACAAAGGAGGTTCCAATCAGATTATATATTGTTAACATGATTACATTAGTCATCTTATTCAATTAATGCTAATACTTGTAAATCTCGTCAAGCATTCATGATTATAACTTATGTTAACAATAAATCAAGTTCCTTTCATAGCTCAGGTGTCGGTTATACCATACATTATGGGCTATGAAAGTGCCAAGCATTTGTTGTACCAAGTGTTATACAACATAAATCAAGATTAGTCATTTAACAAGCAAAGTATTAAAGAGTGAACAAGATAACAAATATAAAACATGTTAGTATCAAACATTAAAGTCCATATTAAGTTTACATTATACTTATTCTTACACCATTAGTGTAACCTTTTCACCTTGACATAATTAACTTAGCTAGACATAATGAAAGAAAGCAAAATAGATAAACAAAATAAGAACATAAAAGTTAACTAAGTAAAGGAAAGGAAATGAAAGGCATAAACTTAATATTAATGAAAACAAAGCATAAAAAATACAAAGAGAGAAAGGAAGAGCATGATCTTGATCTGGAAACCAAGATGCCTAAATGCATGGCAAATGCCTCCTTTTATAGGCCAAAATTAGGAACTATTGATTTGATGACTAATTGATAAGTGGGTGACCAACTTTTGACTTGGTGACAATCCTTATCTTCTCTTGTCTGCCCAAAACGTCATTGATAACGTCAAAACTGGAGCCAGTTGCAAACATGAAAGTTGTAGGCAATTGTCTCAGCTTTCTTGTGTAAAAACTTCAGCTCATTTGGACTTCTAGAACTCCAGATATGGCCAAAATACCGAACAGTGCTCGGGCTGGAAGACAGATTCGGGCTTCTTTGTTGTTGCTACAATTTGGACTTGATAATGGCCTTTTTAGATCTTGGGCTCCATATGAAAGTTGTAGGCCTATGTCTTACCTTTCCATCCATATAAATTGGACCTAAATCTGAGATCTGTAGCTCCAGATATGGCCCAATTACCGAACAGTGTTCTGGTTTGGATTGCACCGACATCTCTTTTCTAAGTTTGACCATCTCTTTATCCATGCAATTTAAGTTCTTCAAGTCATCAATCAATCCTTTCATTTATGTGATAGGCCTGCATTAAAAATAGATATTTACCATAAATTATAGGTATCTTATATTATTAGATACATTATTATAAAACATATTTTAGTTAAGGAGTTATTGATATTTCAAGTGCAAAATGATGATATAAAACCATGATAAAAATGCACTTTTAAGTACTAATCAATCAAGTAGAGGTAGTTTTTTTGGACAAAGTAAGAACAAGCTCTATTCTACAATGGTGATGCAATTCCCCTTTGGTCAGCTTTCCTACAAAAGCTTTTATGGAAATGTTGTACTGTGATGGGGTCTTGATTGTGTTTGTCCCCAACTTCTTTAGGTTAAGTTCTTGTTGAGTTTCGAACAAAGATGATAGGTTTGTTGGAAGGAACTTCCTTAGGGATGCTTTTCAATATTTGCTCGAGTAAGCTAGAGGTGAGTCAAGCTTTTGTTCAGAGATTCCAACTCTTCTTGAAAATAGATGCTACAACGAGCATACTCTTCATCTCCATTGTTTTTTTGGTCAAAATTAGATGTTGCAGACTCGTAGGGGACCCACTTTTTATTTTGGTGCATGCATGATAAATGTATGAACATAAGATCTATATGATGAACTCGCCCTTCGAGGGGTGACATATGATCGTATCTTTTGTATGATGAAACAAGAATCTTGATTCTTGCCCAAACTCTACAATGAAAATTTTTGGAGCAACGATCATTTTGTCACCCACAAGTCTTGAGTTCAAGATGCTTCAAGAAGGGTTCGCCCCGATGCAAATAAATGATAACACATACAACCTAAGGATAGGTACTATTCATTATGTGAACATTGGTAGGTTTTCTACCTGGTCTCAAAAGGGTCTATGAACTGCCTAGTGACCACCTTTCGTGAAGGCAGTATAGGGGTCTACAAGGAATGGTTAGGGCACCGTGTGACCGCCATTACCGAGTAAACACTCAGCTCATAGTTGGATGTTTCACAAATATAAACTCCGACTGAAAGTCATGAGGTAGACCACTACTCCCCACCTAACTTAGAAGCTTGTGTGTGCTTTCAAAAATAGATACAAGTGACGCATGTAACAATTCTAAAAATGCATGCATAAAACACAATAAAAATGCCAAAATTTAAACACATCAAATACACAAAGCTTAGCCCAATATTGTTAGAAACAGTACCTCCCCAGTAGAGTCGCCATTCTGTCGCACGTCAAAAAAAATCCGCGCGGCGTCAGCTCCGGTAATTTTTCATCGTTATTGTTTGATTTGATCTTGTTGGATTCGTTAGGAGTCGCCACCTAGTATTTAATTGAAGGTTACTAGGGAACCCGATTGTACTGGTCTTGTCAGAGATTCGCGGGTAAGGGACCGGTTGTGGTTAGGGAAGGTATTAGCACCCCTAAC